GATCGAAAGAGCCATCGCAGGAAAAACATATATCCGGCGTCTGACCCGGATTTCCGCACACCGTCATGTTGTTCGCTGCCTTTCGACAAGAGATGGGGGTCCACGGCCACGCCTCAGTCAGCTTACACCTCTGATGCAAGAGCGAGAATTCCAGAACAACATTCTCTCAAGCGCTCGCTCGTTCGAGGAAAAATGAAGCCGCTGCTACCGCTTGCAAACTCGCCTCTGTTTTTGTTGGAAACCCAGTGGGGTGAAATTGAAGAAGAAAGATCGAGAGGCAGGATCGACGCGGCGGTTCCCGTAGCGGCTGTGAGCGCTTCCAGAGGCCGATAGTAAGCGGCTTGCAACCGTGAGGAGAATTCCTCGAGTGAGTGTAGGCGTGCCCCCGAACGCATGGATGGATGAATGAATGGAGGAACGGCCGCATGCAGATGGCGATGCGGCTTCTTTCCATATCCCGTGTCCTTCTCGCGACTCCATCGCACCCACAGACAATCGCTCCGCTACGGGAGCAGGAGTCTGTTCTCTCTGCTGCGACTGAGATAGAAAGATAGGCGAAAGCCAGACGGGAGAGAGTTCCCGGCACAATGATTCTCTGAACGGAAGCTGCCAAGGATATCGGACCATGATTCAAGAAAGCTTGCCTGCTCGCTCGGAAGCGACTTGAGTCGACAAACGGAGGAGATCCTCCTCTGGCTCGGCTCGGCTGGATGCCTGGCTGCCCGACAGGCGGAGGGACGAGCGGGCGTGCGACAGATAAGCACCGAAACGCCATCGTGTGGCGGGACAATACGGCGGCAGCAACGGCGAGGACGGGAGCGACGTCGACCATAACACGTGAACCTCGAGCGAGACTTCTGACCGCTCTTTACGTTGGCTTCCTTGGAAGCGTTTCCCACTCACTTCTGCCCTCGATCTATCTCAGTCAGTCCCGACGAGAAAGAAACAAGCGGAGCCTCAATCAGCAGAGTGGAGTTAATCGACAAGGCCTCCGGTCGGTCGGCAGGCAAGCGCCGCCAGGCGTCTTGCCTTAGAGCAAGATGATCACGGCCGACTCGTATCTGAGCGACTGACTCCATACTTCCCTACCTACTAGATATCGGAGAAGCGGTCGTTGCAGTCAAACTCCGTGTGACCGACTTCCATACAGCATTCAGATCTGATCGGTCTTTTTCAGGACCTTTTTTTTCAATGTTTGATCCGATGACAGCAGATTAAGGGTGCCTTGGGGGCACTTCGGTTTCACAGATCTGATCCTCGTGAGCTGATGGGATCGATGCGATGAAGACACCGCGCGCCAGTGGCGCGGATTTCCCCTCTGATTAGCATGATCAAGCGATTAGATCAGACCAGTGCGGCTGGGTCCCAATATTTATCTACTCGGACGAGTCAACTCGCTCCGTCGGTCAATCACGGACCGAGCCGATCCTAAACATCAATAATTATTCTATCGGCTCGTTCGACTAATTGGCCGGACTGCTTCGTGTGGAGCTCCTCTAACAGGCATGACCCCCATAGCTCATAGCGGCAGATGTATGGATTCCCACTCACTCGCATCCCACTCGCAGTAGGAGAGGGAAAAAGCGAGGTCCATGCTGGATGAAATATTAGCGCGGACCGATAGTGTTTGCTCAAGACTGCCAAGAGGCAATCGCTTGGTCAAACAACGAAGAATTCCGTCTCTGTCTCGGATTTCCTCTCGGATTCTGTGAACGCCGATGCCGAAAACCGCGCGTACGCAACTACGAATTCCGGCTCGAGTATCATGACGAGTATCAATCCCGCTGACGATTCCTTGGATACGCAGCGTGAAACAGGATCTCAGAACGTCCACAAGAGCCAGCACGATAGCTCTTCAGCCAGACCATGAGCCTTGAGTTAGGATCTCTACATTCGATAGTCCTCATCTCAGCTCCCGAGTATCCAATGATGGGAAATATGACCTCGTCCTCGTGATGTCAGAGTCTACGGAGGAACCCGTGAAAACATCCTCCTCTGGCTGTACTCGTGATTTCTCTCGACGGAGGATGAAGTTCTTGTGCGGAGCACTCGACCACGATCTCGAGCAGTCTCTTCGAAAGTCGCCTCGAGAATCTCCTTGGGAGTCTCTCTGTGAGGAACTGTGAGGTCGGGGTCGAATCAGCTAGGATGAAATTCCTTCGATTCATATCTGTCATCGTTACTGATTGCTTCCTATCAGAAGGGAGTCACAGATCGTCGTGTACGTCCTTGGTAATTGTTATTTATTGTTGTCGAGCAGGAGCATCATCACCACCTCCCGAGCGTAGGAAGACCCACGCCTGGCTGTCCATTGAAGCGTATTCGTCCGGTGGCGCCAGGATGCCGCACAACGGAACGTCGGCGCCCGCTCCTCGGTCGCTCGGGCGGTCGAACGAGTCTACTGGGCTGTTCCGAGGATCGTCGACAGAGCTCCTCTGACTCGCCGGGCGCGATGGCGGTGGCGAGGGTTCATTCATCGTGCACTTCATAAAGCTCTCGCATTTTTCTCTTGCATACTGGTTTGACGTGCTCGAGGAGCGAACCAGCTTAAGGGTCGTCGCCACCCTCGGAGCCGAGGCGAGAGCAGCCGTGCTCCGCAGCTGATGCAAGCGAACAGAAGGGACGCATTGTACTCCAAACTCTCAACAGAACGGCATCAGCGACCGCACCGGCGTGGCGGCGTCTCCTGTCCGCGCACGGTGTGTTGCTGTTTTTATCAGCGCAGCGCATAAAGACCTGAACGTCCTGCCTGACACATAAAAGTCGGACGAAGAAAGATGTATGTATGTACGATGGTAGCATTCGTTGGTCATTGCGCAACAACCCGCCGACCGGCTTGGATACCAGAGCAAATGATCTAAATTGAATCGCTCTGAAAGGAGCTACAAAAGAGAGACACGCGAAGCAAAGGTGTGGCAGGCCGAGTGGCCATCACAAGATCGATGTCGGTGGGTGAGGTCTCCCTGCCAGCCTGTCAGCCTGCTTGCCTTCCAGCCGTCCGCCCGTCCGCCTGCCTGCCAATCCACTCGTGCAATGCGCTACGGTAGCGATGGTGGCTCCGCAATAGGCCCTCGCTACCTAAGAAGCGATACGAGCCAGCTATGAGTTGCCCTCAGTCTGGTTTTGGCTTATCGCCATTATTCCCCAACATCTGCTGATGTAGGAATTCAGAAATTTGAAAGGAGAGAAACCGGCTCCAAGCGTAACCGAACTTACCCTCAGATGCGGCATCGGGAAATATGGGCTCGGTCATGGCAGTATCGAGCGCCTCGTGCAGTCGACCGGGGAGAGCTATGCCATGGGAAATCGATTTTTTCAGCCGATCCCGTTTCCCCTCTCCCCCTCCCTGCTCTCCGAAATGTTTGCGACATGAATCAGGGCGAGTGAGTGCGAGCGCTTGTGCTCTCAGCGCCAGTGTCACCAGTCACCATCCAATCGAGCCTGAAGGTACCGATGCTTTGGCGGCAGTAGTATAGTATTTTCAAGAAGATAATCCTGGTCGACATCCGGAAGTGTTGTACACACTCGGAAGAAGTGGAGATTTCCTCATTTTCCCTGTTGCCCTTTGGAATTCGAAGATCGCAGCGATCAATAATTGATTCCAAAGTCAAACAACGTCGACTGTTTGCGGAGGAGCGCTCTGCGAGCTCACGTGTGATTATCCAGCGCCAGAGTGGCCTCTCGGGCTCATGCGATGAGGATCGAATCAGGACTGTAGACCCTGGACGAATCTCGTCCGGACAATTATTGTCGGGATCATCCCGCCGCTCCGAGAACTTGCGAGATCTCTCTTCAAAGGCGGAATGGGTTCTGCTCTCACGACCAAATGAAGACGGGCAATATCGTAGAACAGAAGAACGGAGGAATTACGCAGAGGAGAAGAGGAGACCGCCCGTACAGTTCTCTCGATCGGAGGGAACCTTCCCGTCGCTCCATGGAATCCTCTGTCGAACAGCTCGTGCACTGCCTGAATGTTCTGTGCTCGTCCGAGAAGAGAAATGCGAAATAGCTCAAGGGAGGACGTTGACTCGGAGAGATCCCTAAACGTTCCTCCTTTCTCATTTCCGTTTAGCGTACAGTCTCAGGCAGCTGGATTGAAAGAGGACCAGGATGGGAGACCGCTTCCCGACCTATAAAAATCGTCCCGAAGCGAGGCAGTGTCTCACTGTTAAATTACGTCGAAGGGAGAGAGCAGACCGCCGACAAGCGGAGATAGTGGCACCGCAAGCATTCGGTCGGTTTGTCTGAGGTCGCTTGATTTTTATGACGCATCTGCCACACCATCAATCATTCTCAGAGCTGTCCGTGTCAGGGCCTCACATATAAATAAGTATTTTCTTCGAGGAACCGTCCCAAACGGGCCGGCGATTCGACGATTTTGCAATCTCTTGGCTTATGGCGGCACGGAAAACTGAAACGAGCCGGGACCGGATGTCACCCAGGCACGATTCTGGAGACCCGCTTCTTGTTTGCACCAGATTTCAAGGAAGAGAGCATCCTATCCGATCCTACGCTCATGTTGGAAACTGAGTCCCTTGGAAAAGGGAACGGAAGTGCGTGATATCTAGAAACGCCCTGAAGTGATTCCTGCTCCATTATAGCTACGGGAATCGATCTCTTCGACACATACCTTCAACACACACACAAGCGTAAGTATGTGCGTATGTCTGTCTCGATGACGACGTTTGCGTGTGACTGCGGGTCGGTCTGTTTGTCTCCATGGGTCGACGAGTACTCCTTGATCACGTTGTTTTTCGTAAAACGCCGCTTACGTATGAAGCGGGTTGAATTGACGTTCGGCGAACGAAATGAGCTGAATCCATCGGAAAGTGGAATCACACATTCCGTCCAGTCGGTGTGAAGATTATTCAAGAAAAGGACTCCGATTAATCACTTCCGCCACCGAGATGCGTTAGTCCGGGTTCATCCTCCCGACCCACTTAGCCGCTGCTTGATGGCCATGGCGGCCGACCTCGTCGCCGTCGCGTCGAAGGTAGATATCAGCCTCCAGCAGGATCACCGGTTGATGATCTCTGGATGAAGCTTCGCGCGAGGGCGAGAGCGGACTGATGAGCAGGCGGTCGAGCCGAGCTTTGGATGAGGGATTGCTGAGTGTCTTCCAGGTCGCGGCCCGCGTCAGCCTCGAGAGCGCTGGCGTCATTGCCGCGGGCGATCTTTTCAGCCGGCGGGCCGAGCAAGAACTCAGCTGTTGGCATTGTTACTTGCCGCAGTCCGAGTGGACGAAGACGAAATTCGGGAATGTTGCTGCTGCTGGGCTTGTTGTTGTTGATGCTGCTGCTGCTGTTGTTGTTGTTGCTGTGATGTTGGAGCAGTAGTCGCAGCCAACTTGCCATTGAGTCCTCGCGAATCCTCCGCGACACTCGCAGCCTGTCGGAGCAAGGGAAACCGTCGATCAAACGACGAATGCAATCCCGCTCCTCCCGAGGCCGTGTCGTTAGCCAACGCCGACGATTTGTCCGAATCCCTGGAAGAGACGTCATCGTCCTCTTCTTCGGCGAGTAGCGGAGTCACTTCCTGCGAGTCCTCATTGCTCGTGGTTCGACTATTGCTCACCTGCATTCTATTGTTGCTAGCACAGCTGTTGTTGTTGTTGTTGAAGCTGCCAGTCGTATTGTTGTTGTTGTTCATCAGGGTCGTGCTGGCGATGTTATTGAACGAAGTTCTTTTCTTCATCAAGAACGCCGAATGATGTCTGTCCGAAGATTTGGAAGAAGAGAAGTCCCGCAACACTATGTCATTGGCTGTTTGAATGTCGTTCTCACTAGTAGATATCGAAGATAGTCCATCACTTTCCATGGAGGCAAACAGTTTCGACGACAACTGCATCCGTAGAGACACTGGTAGACGATTGAGGTACATGTCCAGGTGTAGACCCGAAGACGTAGAGGCCGATCGACTCATGTAGAATGACTTGGATGACGAAGGGGTATCACAACCGTCAGGATCCATGATCTGGAGATCCGTGGGTGACGGGATGAACGTCGTTTCATATTGGGGACTAAGAAGAAAATTCGTGCAAGTCGAAGATGTTGAGAGCGACGGAGCGGCGCGCATTTTGAATGGGGGAGTAGCCCCTGTTCGCGTGTGCAACGGGATCAGATTCAAAGAACTCGGTGGAACGCTGACGCTGCTGCTGCTGCTGCTGTTGCTATAAGCCGGGCTGATCTGACAGCTCCGCGCAGAAGGCCCAGGTACGTTGAAAGCAGGACTCGATGCCTGCTGCTGATGGTGCTGATAACGTTGTTGCTGTTGGTTGAAATATTGAGCCATTCCCACCGGGCACGTCCATACGCCTCCAGAAGACATTTGAGGTAATGAAATCTGAGACGCTGGCGTCGAACAGCCCGATACGGAGCTTAGATCCGGCCCTGCTGCGGCCGAGAGGGCTGACCCCGCCAGGGACCGATAATCCGGATAGGGATCGGGTGAGTAGCTGGCGCAATCGGGTCCCGCTCCTGCCCCAGCCATTTGCTTCTGGAGCAGCTGTTGACTGGAGCTCTCGACTGCAGGCGGCTTGGCCTTGCTATTGCTGTTTCTGCCTCTGCTGCTGCTGCTGCTCGTTCTCTTTATTATGTCGGTGCTCACACTGTTGCGATGAGAATCCGATGATGATCTTGTAGGCACTATTATGGTTGTCTTGGACCCCACCACTGCTGATGACTTTCGCCTTTCTCCAGCCACACTGGAATTATTATTATTATTCGTTTTCGTTGTCGTTCCTTCTAAGGACGCAGTCGATGCTGCTACCGCTGACGTAGTTGTACTTCTATGGTTTGTAGGATGGTTGTAGTTGCTGCTGCTGCAGTTGTTGTTGTTGTTACTGCTGACCTTGCTCATCGATGTCGCGGTCGATCCTCCTCCGGGAGCGGGGCCCACGAAGGATTCGCTTCCTTGATCGACTTGCAGGAGTTGTTGAGAGTACTGCGGTTGTAAACCGTTGTAAGCAACGTCACTACTACTCGTTGGCATAATTCCTGCTGCGGCTATCAACTGTTTAGTCGTGTTATGGACTGACGTGATACCGCTGCTGCTGTTGCCGCTGCCGAGCGAAGGACGTTCGGAAGTCGGCTGCTGTATCAGAACCGTTGGGTTGTCGGTTCCCGGCGGCGGTGACAGCAGTGGCGGTTTCGGTCTACGTCTACCCTTGGGAGGTAGCGGCAGTATGGGAACTAGAGCTTCTCCAATGGACGGTCTCTTCTCGTCCACAGGAACTACCCTGTGGTGGTGGTCTTTCACTCCAAAAGTCAACACGCAGGCGGCAACGATGCAAATACCGCCCAGGCCCATGATGGCTGGACCCGCGAACGACAGGTTGTGGAGATGATATTCCAACGAGCGGTTGACTGTGATCGTTGTGATGTTGTTGTTGCCGTCGACGATGGTGACCGAAGTCGACAGCTGCTCGGCGAGGAATCCCACTACACACATAGCCGTCCCAATGGCGATTAGAAGCACTCCCGGCGATAGGGCCTTGGCGAACTTCCACACGCAGCCCAAAGATACGTAGGCGGGGATCAGACTATGCTGCTTTTCGTCATCTTCTTGTTTGTTGGCACTGCTATCCTTGTGTGGCGAAGAGCCGGCGGTGGTCACAGAAGCAGGCAGAGGCCCGAGGTTCACATGGGACGGCGCCCGAGGTCTTCCCGGCACAGCGAGGGGCCCTGGTGCCCTATTCTGTTGGCGTAACTGGCGGCCGATGACAGCCGCGCTATTCATTCCGGAATTTTACCCAGTAACGAGTGGCCCGTGGGCTCGGTCGGTTTATAGCGGCCTGGCTTAGCCGCCCCGACTGCCCGCCGTCATCGACCCCGTAGCTCCTTCGTCCCCCCTGTGCGGCGTCTACTACGAACAGAACTCTTGCTTTGAACTAGTCGACGTCGTCGGCCGAGGCGCCGACGACTCGAACTCTCTCCCCTTGCCCCCTTCTCCTTCTCGTCGTTGCCATCGTCGTCGACCTTCTCCATTTGGGCGTGCCCTCTCCTCGAGGGCCTTCAGCCGCTACCCCTCTCCCGAAAACGTGCTCGCCTGGATACTCTACCGTGGGAGTTTGGCGCATGCGTCCCGCTTGACAGCCAACCCACAACCCCCTATGTCTTGCCTGCCCGGGTCCTGCCCACCTTCGTCCGTTCCTTGGTTCGTTCTTTGGAGCCCTCGTTCGTTCTTGTGACCCACCGATCGGACCGAACGGACGAGTCAGCGCCAACTGAGCGGGACCTAAATCTGGCAACCTATCGAATCGGTCTTCCCTGGCGGAGCCGGCTCAGAATGCCCTAATTTTTTGTCGCTCGTTCCCCTCTCACGTTCGATCGTTTGGGGAGAACAACATTTCCATGGGCGAATAATTGGGCCCGTGAGTTGACGCTTCGCTCGCGTTGGTCACTAGATCTTCTTGAGAGCGGAATTCATCAATTTCTGACGCCGTCCTCGGCGTGAAAGCCCAGAGTCCCGATGAGAAAGCCCATTCTCGACGATGACCACTCGATCGCGCGCGCCCCGTGAACGATTTATCATAGGCTTCTTTCGGCCATCGTCACCTCTCGGCGGCAACCTCGATTTCGAACTCAAACGTCGAGCCATTAGTTACTCCCTCCTCTCTGTCGTATATATTGTGGATTTTGCTTGCTCCGCACACCCTGACACCGACGAGCGTCGTCGTGTGTACGCTTCATCGGTTCGTTGGATCTCTCGACGGCGGTCTTTCGGTCGCCTCCCGTTGACTTGTTGGTACACTCTCCGACGTTCCTCGCCCGTCGTCATCTTCGTCGGCATCGCTGCTGTCATTGTCGCCGACGAAGCTGTCAGAAACGCTCACAGTCGACTCCGAAAACGCTGCTCACTCTGCGCTGCCGGAGACCCGCTCCCGGCTGAAAAACACATATCTGTAAAGAAACATCAGGGGCGCGGCGTCCGGTAGATCGGGAAAGCTCCGAGGAGAGATCCCTTATTTCAACTTTGAGGTCCCCCATTGCGGATCGACGACTCGCGCTCGCTCGATTTGCGAAAATTTTCAATGAAGTATTTGTGGGGATTCCTTTCGTCTGCTCTGAGATGGAGAGAGCTCGCCACTCCACTCGCATGTCTAAGAGGAGCCGACCTGGAGTAAGAACAACGGATCTCGTTTCGCTCTCGATACTTGCACCAAGCGCCGCCGCAGGCCTTCATCGAACAAAGACCATGCAATCCTATACCCTTCGCAATATCGCCGGGAGGGAAGATTTCCAGTGTTTGTTGGCCGTCATTGTGCTAGATGCCGTAATATTACAATGAGTAGATGGGACGAGCTTATTTGAAGAGAAAGAAGAGACACGCTGAGTGGATGTTTCATTGCTGTCGCCGAATTTCCCCGAGTCGAATCGAGGAGCAACCGGGCCCGACTTTCGTCCGAGCAGCGAGCAAAACTTGCCCTACCAGACTGTCCATATATCAAACATTGCATAGGCAGAGGCCCGCCTACGCGTGGCTTGAATTTCATTCCCCGGCAGGGTCCTTTTCCTCCAAGATGCCGACATGCATCACTTCTCCTCGACCCTTGCCAACTCTAGCTCTTGGTCGGACTTCGCAACGATCCTGCGTCATGCTTAGAAGGGGATCAACGGCTTTTGCGAAAGAAAAAACGTGGAGCAAAAACAAGCAGCAGTGACTTATCTGCCGCCACGGCGACCGACAGATAGACAGACAGAGAGCGCGCCTGGTTTCAGTCACGGACCGGCATTCATCTTTGTTGATGGGGCTCTGAATAGAGGCAAGACTCTTCCCTTTTTCATGTTTCCGAGATTCCTGACGCGACGATCGGAGCGCAGCAGGCGCTTTCGGTAGGAAGTCGCGCTCGCGGGGTCGGAGTCACTTTCCAATCGGAGCCCGTCGGAAACAAATACGTGCGGGAAGCTCCTGACTTGACTGTTGATATCTGAACTTGGCATATAATAATTGATGATCTATGAATCTCTGCGCTGAATTTGTCCCCTCTGACTGCTGCCAGGGAGGACAATTAACCCTCCCGCGGAGGAAGGTCTTCCGAGGTCCCTGGGAGGATTTCCGGGAAACAAGTTCCAGCAATCCTCATTCGTGGACGAGATGGACTCAATTGACGTTCCTTACTGTTCTGAGGCGTGAGGGATCATTCCTTAGAAGAAGTACGAATAAGCCTAAGATGGGGTTTTCCTCTGATACCGGAGGAAGTCACTGACTCGGATAGAAGCGATTCCCTACCAGATGGACTGTGGATGCGAGCATCGATGAATTTATCCAGGACGGGAAAACAATGAATCCCTCTACGGTAGAACGATCGAGCATCCCCCCGTGGACAAGGCTTGCCCCTGAAACGTTTTCCGATAAATGGGCGCTATTCTCCCCTTCGTCGCGATTCGCGCCTTGGAAAGCAATATCGCCCGTCCTCCTCGGCAGCATGAAATTCAGGGGTCGAGAACCGCCGACTTCGTCGCTGGGGCTTGGAAAAAGCCAATCCGTTCGCTAATACACGGACTCCCGGCTAGGGGAATAGCATTTGGAGGCTCCTTCGTCCACCAGGCTGTCGTCGAGCGGTTGTCGACATACGGAGACCCTCACGCTCTGCCGCTTCTCGTTCCGTCCACGTTCGTCGCAGCTCCATATGCCGAACTTTGCCAATAACTCGCTGACTTCTATATTGAAATTCTTCCGTCGTCGGTGACGGGAATAACCTGTCAACGAGCTTAACAATGGCACATTAATTATACTGCGAAGCGATCGAGCTCATCATCTGCGAGTTGCGGCATCTCGACGAAGTTCTGAGAAGCCTCATGTCGGCCACTGCAGCTGATGAATCACGTCATCAATCTGTCCATCGGATAGCAAGCAAAGGCCACTCACAGACTCGCCCCTGCTGGCGAGCTACGTCTTACTCGGATAAGAAAATAATGGACGAAAGGAGCCACATGGAGAGCAGAGTGTAGAGAAGTTGTATTGGTCCGGGAGCGGAATGTGACGAAGTGGAATCCATCTGGCGATCCATCTCGCTGTCAGACGCGCAGATGTCGGATTGGCGCTAGAAAAGTTCCTGGACTCGGTTCCCCTCCCCAGGAGCTCATTCGGAAGTTTCCGCTTCCTTTCTCTGAGAATGAGCTACGGGCTCATTCTCCTCCGCTCCCCGAATGGACGATCATAAGCGACAAGCCTTTATTTGGTGTGTGATATCAAAACTTCATGCGCAGATGGAAAATGTATCGATCAGTTTGGCCATGATTCAGCGGGGTTACACAAGTACTCCTCCTCTCACAGATTCATCCCGCAAATTCCACGGGCTGACGACCCTTCGTACCGAGATCAGATACTGCGAATGTACGTCCGCCGAGCTCCTCGTGGAGGTCTGTGGGAACATTGTGAACACCGGCTGAGGTCACCAGCAATGTGCTGAGATCGGGTCCTCCGAAGCAGGCGGACGTCACATTCATCGAAGGTAGATTAACTTTAGTCAGGAGTTTACCTGTAAATTCACAGGAAGAATATTAGGCCATATCGAAGTCTTTGAAATCACCGAAACGCAGCCTGGTCTTGTGGAAGGGGAGAAGAAACCCAGACCGTGACTTGTTCGGCTGGGAATCTCGGGAATCGCCACAGATTATTATCCACGATCGGGGCGGATATAAATTTTGAATCGTTGACATCGACAGCGGGTTCCGCGTGGGATTGCTTTCGTCCCTAGAGTTACGATACGACGGGCAGCGAGGAGAGCGGGAAGATTTACGGCTCCCGGATAAGGAGCCCCCATTTGGCCCCTGTCTCCGATACCCCTTTTCAGCAAGGCTGAGGCCTGCGGTCGCGTGACCAGCTTTTCGAGTGCCATGAACGGAGGATCAAATGATTTGCGTGACATCCCCCTGTGATCTCTCGAGACTTGATTAGGTGGAGCGAATAACTGAAGGAAACTCAACAACGGTAGCCTGATACCTGGACCCTCGGAGGGCGCGTTGGGAGGTGTCGTGTTCGAAGCGTTCCGGGACACGGGTCTTCTCTGCCGACACCGCCCCGTGTGCCTTCGCACTACCGACCCGATCGAGTTGCTAATTCTGGCGAAGATTCGGGTAAGAGAGGAGGCGTCGCGCCTGCGGCGAAACTCAGGACACACATACCTGTCCGCGAGTCGATTTTCAAGATGCAGCTCCCGCCGAATACCGCGAGCCAGATATTATCCTGCACGTCGATCGTGATGCCGTCGGGGAAACCGAATTTATTGAAAGGTTCCATGTTGAAGTCGACTAGCACGCGCTGGTTCGCTGAAAATTATTCACAAGCTCTCGTTGGAGGGAAGCATTGATAGGCAGAGAATTAATTCAAGAAAGAAAACAGAAGTCAGACGCTCCCATGAATATTAAGGAGCTCTGCTGAATGGAAAACTTCTTCCAGGAGACATGACTGAGTCGAGTCTTGCCGAGCGAGACGCAGTCGGTGGCTTGGGATACAGAACGGTGATCTGGACGAACTGAATCACGTGATATGAGGCATACACGCGGTAATCAGTGTCGCTCGACAGAAATCGGAGCGGCTTCGCAGCTCCTCCTTCAGAGGGTCCGTCTAATTTTGAGGGCCCTTAAGAGATACCTAACGCCGACGGCTCCATCGAGCCACGTCTCGAATCGTTTTTTCCGTTCAGTCCTATGCGAGAATTCCGAGGGCATTGGTCTAAAGAGAGTGAGGAGAGATGCGTCGGACCTCACCCCATTCAGGAATGGATCTCATAGTCTCGATCGTATGCGTTTTAGAGAGTTTCCTGCTCGGCTTCCCTCTTTTCGGGTCTCTCTTACGTGCGTAGAATCTCGGCAAACAGGACCGCGGGAATCTCACGACTGGTGTCCCGGTATGCATGAGGAAAAGTTCCCCGACATCTAGACTGATTTAATTTTGTGCTCTGAAGCACATTCCACAAGAAAGCGAGCATGCTCACATAGTGCTCCCGTGTCGTCGTAGTCGAATGCAAACATTTTCTTCGAAGGATTAGAGTCCACGTAGAACATTGTCTTGTTGTCTCTGGACCAGGCCAGTCCATTCGAGAGATCGACGTCCTCGATGAGAACTTTCAGCTCGCCCTTCGAGTAGCTGAACAATTTCCCCTTGCTCGCGGGGAGTGTATCGGTTAAAGCCTTCGGCATCGTACCTGCGAGTGAAATCGGTACTTGCATTAAATCGATTCGTGTCCTCTATCCGATGGAGGAGTGTATTCGAATTTGATCCGGAGGCGTCCGGTGAACGTCCCCGATTTCGAGCTCTTCTAGAGATTGAAGCTCCTAGTGGAGTCGCAAACCTACCGAAGATAATCCGACCGTACGGGTCGCACTTTGCGTCGTTGATCCTGGTTGCCAAGCCTTTCTCATGTTCTGTTACGTCACACAAAACTTCGAGTACTTTCTTGGTCTCGGTGTCGTACTTGACGAGACGGTTTCCCACACCAACAACGAGCAGATTAGCATTCGATGCATATGGAATCGCCACTCCGACCAGATCGTCTGCATCGAGGCAATGCCATTAGGTTTTCGGCAATATCCGCGACTTGAATCAACACAAAACCCCTTCATCCAAGCTCGGGCTTTGACTCCATCTGATCTATATTGCGCTCTCGCGATACCTACATGGTTAAATATATCGCGACGCCGTCAATTACCGAAAGTATGTCTCTCGACGATGTCCCCGGTCACGAAATCGATCATTTTGACCGCCTTCTGCTCGATGTCGACGATAAGAAGTGTGTTCCGGCCCGATAGCCAATGCGGGCCTTCGCCCAGGTCTTGTTTCTCCGAGTTCAGTACTCTGACGGTCATGTTTGCTCTGCAAAGAATAATAATTCGTACCTCATGCATCGATTTCGCTGCATATATCGGGAACGATTTCGCAGGCTCATTAAGTGCAATTGTTCACATTCCCTCGTATCAATCCTCCCGCCATAGACGAATTTTCTGGCCCGCGTTCGTGCGAATCCCCTCGAGATACAAAAAAAAATATTCGAGCTCTGATTGCCTCCAGCCGGATCTCGATGAATTCCTATAATTCCATCTGAGCTCGCTCGTCGCTACCAGCCATCAACCGAACCAGCCATCATTCATTGCAACTGAAAAAAGCTGATGGAACTCATCGTTGACACATCATACGATGGCCAGCGTTCTCTTTGTCAGGCGGCTAATGAATTAGTCGCCGAACGGTTGGTCAATTGTTGATAGACTGATCCTTATTCAAAATGAAGCGAAAGCTCCAGTGCTTTGTGAGACGTGACGCGTTTGTCCATGGAAGCAACGACACCACTGACGTATCTCGAACGAATCACGGCGCCTATTCAGTGGACCGCGGCCGCTCGGCATTGCGAGTACACCGACTCGCGGTTACAGCTCTGTTACGCTCCAGCGGATTATCTGTTGAACGTCCTTGTACTTCCACGACAAAAGCGAGGTTGGACGTGAGTCCAATCTCCAGACGCGACGCGCGTGGGCTCAAGCAATAGCAATGGCTCGCGAATCGATGATTCTCTCTGATGCGTCGTCGTAGAGAAAAGTAAACGGCGTCGAAGGCTCCGACAAGAAGCAAACAATGGCAGTCGTTTTGATGGACAACGCGCGTAGGAACTGTTCCGGAAGCCTCTCGGCCCGGATCGCCTCGATTCGGGCTGCTTTCCACAACCGCGTACTCCAGCAAGAACTCTGGAGTGGTGGAAGGATTCATTCAATTTACTTCAATGCGCCCACAGGGGCTTCATCAATATACGCCGTCATCTCAATTCTTCTCGGAGTTGAGCCGCTATCGACGACGGACGAGAAGTGGAGTCATTAATGACTCCCTCCGCTCTTCACCGCCGGCAACAGCTGGTGATCGAGAGGGCTCCGTCGATAAACGAATGCAGCGATTCCTTCACGAATGATAGTTTTTCTGAAAGGCGTGGCGGAATTCGGATGATATCTGCCGCCGGACAAAAATGAGTACCCAAATTGCGAGATCCCAAAGGCAAGCCGGGCGAGGAGCGAGATAGACTTCGCGAACGGATACCGAACCGCACGCGGACGATTCATTCCGGAGGCATGAAGCTCCGGAAATTCCCTCGGAACTCTAGGTGGCCTCGAATGGGGGAGGGGGAATCCTCTATGCCCCTCGCGGTTCGCGTTCCGCGCGAGAGAGCTCCACAAGACCAAGACGCCACGTGCTGAAAGGCTATACTCTGTCGCGAGCCAGCGATACTCGACTTTGGCACCGCCGAATACTCGTCACCGATGAGTCTTCGAGGTGGTTCCTCGATGAAATCCGACCCAAAATCCTCTCCGCGGGCAAACACATGGCTAAGAAGGAAAGGGGAGAGAGAGAGCTGAGCCTCGTCGTCCGTTTGTCCAAAGTAAATATCACGATCGGAGGCGGGTTTCTCCCCTCAACGTATCGATCGCGCATGTGCCTAGACGTGATACCGATCTCGAGCTGAAATTATAAACCGTGCTCGGTGAAAGGCAATAGGAACGATGACACCGGTTCCGTCTCGGGAAGACTTGATTGACAACTTGGGTCCACGATTACTCCGGCTGTCAGACTCGATACGCAATAAATGCTCCCAAGTATAGCGGAGGCAATGATACGGGTTGGGGCCTACGCTGAGAACTCACCCCTCCACCCATCCTGTTGAGCTGCATTGGAACAGCAGCGAGAATAAAAGAAACCCGCGCGTGCGACGTCGAAGCATCGCGATCTCAGTCTTGTGTCAGTAATAATATATTCCGCTCAGCTAAAGATATGAAGCTAGTCCGTGGAGAATCCAAAATAACGTTTCCAATCAAGTTTTCGAGAACTATTCGTGCCTTCTTTCTCAATCACACATGAGCGACGGTCGGGAGTAGTCTCTTCTGCGACTCCGCATCGAGTCAAGGTCAAATCATCTGTCGGCAGAAGACGCTGGATGAGCGCAAGGCGCGCCTGACAACAGCTTTCGATCAGCGGAGGAGTGAGACAAGTTTGCGCGATCTATTCGAGCGACGTTCGTGTCACCTTCGACGACACGATATCGCTTCTCTGCGACGAAAATGGTTGAACGATCACTAGAACGCTTGCCCACTCGATACCGCTCGACGAAATACTTCCTGCGGCGGGCGAGCTGTCGGAAGCCTATGTACGGGTCAATTTAGATGCGAGAGGCAAGATGCGCCGAAGCGGGATCTCCCATGTCCGCGGACACGGTGTCGGCTGGACAGCCTCTAAGGAGAACCTTCCGCTGGACCTCATCGATGAACTTAAATTCCTGACGACTTGTCTTGAACTCACCCTACGCGTAGCACTGTCCGCTCCAGCTCACCGGACCGTGTTTACTCCCGCGAGCGCTTGACAGTCATTGGCGAGCATTACTGCGCATGCTCGCGCGACATGGTCCATCCATGGACCCAATGGCCCGCACCATTCCATCCATTGATCCATGGACATCCATTGTCCGGCTTATCGCTATAGATGGATCTCCATTATCTATGGCTATCCATGGATGACAGGTCGATGATCGTGTTAATGAGATATGTCGGAATGCACAACGATGATGATGATTGTCTTTATTGGCGCGTTCTGCATGTGAACAGCCGGGCGGTTGGTATCACATCATCTTCCCTCTTCTAGTTTATTCGACATTTGAGATCCAAGCCGTTCTGATGCCTGGATTGCTTTCTTTGGCTAGATTCACCGAATCGAGCCGGGGGTCTACCTACATTGCTCCGACTCGAGCGTCGCAGAGGGGTTCCCGGATTAGTCGTTCCTCCGTTTCTTTCGGTATCTATTTCGTACTCTGTGTCTACGTATTTGACGTCGCTTGAGTTCACCGGAATTGTTGCTCAGCTTTTGCCTCAGGTTTGGTCGTTGCTGGCGATTCTTCGATTGACCTCTCCGATACGAGCCTCCTGACTCTGGTGTTTCGTGTTGGCTCGGGCGCTTCTTCCTCTGCTTCGGGGGTTCCCTGCCGGGGAGCTACCGGTTCCTTCAGGTTTGATTCCACCAAGTTTCGTGCCGGCTTCCTGAGAGGAATTTCCTATTTCTAACCATGCGAGCCCCATCCTTCGTTTCGAAAAGGTATGATCCTGGATCGATCCGCTCGATACCCCTCGTCGGTTTCCATTCGTTAGCAAAATCCATGGATTGAATCCGAACATCCTGTCCGACTCCTAATTCCAGCAATTCTGCGGGACCTCTATCGAATGCTTCTTTTTGCTTCCTTCTCCTCTGATGTATTGTCGATAGTACGTACTTGGATATTCGTGTTTCCATCAGGTTTTCATTGGTTGGCATCACCGAGCTCAAGTTTCGGCTGTGAGCGTCCATCCTATCAACGACCGCGCTGAGCCTTGTCTCATCAGCCGAGGAGGGTTCCGAATCTCTCGAGCGAAGTCGCGGAATAGAGACCGATTGGTTCTCGAGTCCACTGAAGAATCGGAGATTACGGGAACCATACATGACCATCTGCTTCCACGTCGTAAGATACGTTACCACGGTGGCGCAGCACTCTCGCAGATGTCCGGCAGGGCTTGCTCGGAGTTCTGAAAGCCTTAACACAGACCAGATCGCTTTCCCTGAAGGACCTCATTGCGAAAAACGCCTCTCTTGTCCTGATAATGTGCGCCGTCGTCGTATTTCTTCCGAGCTCGTCGCTTCCGATGTCGTCTGAGCACCCATCAGCTAACACGAGGTAAAAGTCCTCTTCCCAAATGGGAACTCTCAATGTAGCATTCGCAATTGCCTTGTCGGGATGGATTCGGTGATTAGTGACTGGCGTCGTTGCTTGACGAGCTTCGCATGATCCTGCGATGTTCCCGATGTCGTTTTCCATGTCTGACCAGTAGATCGAATTTCGGGCCCGTCTCTCCATCGCTTCGTTCCCGAAGCGAGAGCTGAGGGCTCTCCGTAGAAATTCTCTCGTGTGTTTCGGTATTGCCGTGGCGTTCCCTTCATAGATTAGACCCTTGTCTTCGCACAACTCGTCTCGTACTGCCTGATAGGCTTGGAGTACTGGATTTCGCGGCTCCAGTTGAGGCCATCCTTTCTTGATAGTTTTGATGAGTACTTGCATATCTTCATCGCTTTGAGCCTCTGTTCTGAGTTCGTCCATGACTTGGTCGGATATTCGGCTGTAGAGCCGAGCTTCTAATCCGTGTCCTCGATTGCCAGCCGTTCTACGTCTTCTAGGGCTTCGCAGCTTTTCCCTTGCACAAGCCGTATGTTGAGGGTATCGACATAGCATCATTTCCCCCCGCTCAGTATCGTACCTTCAGATCGTATCTTTGTAGCATGAGTCTCATTCTCTGGAGTCTCTTCGGGCAAGCGTGAGTGGCTCGCCGAAAATCATCTCTAGAGGCTCATGGTCCGTTCCTACGGTTGCTCTTCGGTTGGCGTAGAGATATTTGTCGACGCTCCCTTCGCCTCAGCTCCCAGTGGAGGCCACGGATCCGAGGCTTTGATGATGATTGCAAGGATCGCGGAAATCAAGACTCATAACAATAAGGACTGCATAGACGAATTACTGGCTGTCTTCAATGGTGAAGGCGACATCACCGGGCTCGAATGTCATCTACCGCTGAACGATTCATAAAACATGGTCGCAAACCCGTATGGACCTGTACCACAAGCAGAGGAGCAGGCTGTTAAGAACCGAGTTCGGCAGCAATGTAGTCCCAGTAATGAAGCAGAATGCTAATCTCCGAATTACCTAAATCGAGCTCTGAAGAGAAACCCCACCCCAACGAAGCGCTTGGAGCAACTCCAGGCGGAACTCGCCGGCGCAAAGTTCTTCACGACTCAGGATTGCGGTGGTTTCTCTCTCGACAACCACTAGAGCTCATTGTTATGTACATATATCTGCGATCCCGTGGGGCCGATTCCGATTTTCGAAAATGCTTTTCGGGATCCTGACAGCATCTGACGGATTCCAGTGGATGACGGATGAAGTCTTCTGTGGTCAGGATAAAGTCACAGTAGTTGTTGACGACATCCTGGTTCGCGGAAGGACACGAGAAGAGCAAGACAGACGGTTGCAAAGAGTCCTACAAAGATGTAAGGAAATCGGCATGGTGTTCAATGAGGAGAAATGCCGATTTGCTCAGAAAGCCGTCAGATACCTGGGTCACGTACTGACCACCGGAGGGAGGGCCGTCGATGAGGAGCGAATCAAAAGCATACAGTCAGTCCCAGCACCGACATATATCAAGCAGCTATAGCAGTTCCTCGGGATGGTGAACTATGTTTCGCAATTCGTCGATAATTTGTCAGACAAGACGGCTATTTTGAGGGATCTTATGAAGGAAGATAATTCGTTCGACTGCCAGCCAGGCCGTCAGCGGGCTTCTGATAATTTGGAAAGGGCGCTCGTGCGAATTCGAGCAAATAAGCAGAGTCCACGATATACAGCACGTCACAAGTGGTCCCTACAAAGCCAGAGGGAATTCGTTGGCCGAGTGCGCCGTTGAGGAGGCGAAGAAGATCCTGCGAAAACATCGGTATGGTACCGCGGAATTCTACACAGCGCCAATGGAGCTCAGAACGTCGCCAGGATCGGTCGGGCTCGGTGCACCGTCGGAGAGTTTGTTGGGGCGACGGCTTCGCATACTCCTTCCGGTCTTGAATTCCGTGCTCTCACCAAAGACAATGGATACAGAACGCGTGCATGAGCTCTCCGGAGCAGGACGAAGAAAATAGAAAGCAATAGCGATGGTCACACTCGAAGCCGTCCCGACTTCGTAGAAGGTCAAATAATACGCATCCGGGATCGAATCAGCAACGCGTGAATAAGGGGAACGGTTGTGTTGGCTCACAGTGCTCCTCGCTCACATGTTATAAGCAACGATAAGAAGGGTGTTACATATCGCCGGAATATTCGATATAATCCCGGTACCCGCTTCATCAACCATTCCTGTACCGCAGCTCCGTGAGAATCAATGCTTCCTAGTCAAACTCTCAGAAGGTCAGAACGAACATTGCGAAGGCGGAAAAAAAATCTCACCCAATGCCCCATGCTCATTATACCCAGTTCATACATCTACCGTAATTTATTCAAGGTACTGCGATCTGAAATCATAAACAGGAAGAAAGTGATACATGCACATTTGTAAAATCCTGTGTATCAATCAATGAAACTTAGTTTGATCTCGAAGTCCGGTGCGGTTAATCGTGGACACTACATATGGAATAGACCACCGTGGACCTTCCATGCATGGATCCATGGATCAGTGATCTCACTCTCCGTCAGAAGCGCGCGGGTTCTGCTGTCGACGAACAGACACGTCTACGGCTGGAGATGTCTGGCGGGCGGCTCCCTGTGATTTCGACGAATCGAGGTATATTCCCTCAAACGGCACCACGCCGAGTGCACCTCCGCTTGCGGATCATTGTCACGCCGGCCGCCTCTCTCAGTCGTCATTGGAATACGATCGCGTCGACGCCATTCGACACCAGAACGTCGGCAGTCCAGAGCTTCGGCGCAATCTCCTAGGATTTCCGAGTCCTGCGCGAAGAAGGGTCCGAGGATTGAACGGGAAACATAACAAAAAGTCTTCTGCGGGATCTGCCGAAATGGGAGACGCTTTGAATTTCCGAATTGACGACCTTAGGTCAATAAACAATTTGGCAGTCTGCGAGTAACTCTGCCCAACGCCTATTGAGGAAGTTCACCGAGTGTGCCTACGCATACACTTCCGACGCTGTCCATTTAGGCAGCTCATTCCGACGATCTTTAGGACGATGGGAAGATAGTCGCGTTTCTGACGATTTTTCGGGAAGACAGCTCCGTCCGCAGCCATGGACATGAGACTGCCAACGTTGTTGCGGTCAGCCGATCTGAAAGCACACGCGATGTGTCAGCAACGAACTTGAGCCGGAAAATATGTTCACGAGTCGACTGATTCAGTAATTGACTTCGAGAGAGAGCATGTAGAGAATCCTTTTCCGCCAAAAACATAATTGCGCTTCGGAGCGCTCTGTACCTCTCTGGCGGATGTTTCCCACGGCTGAATCAGCCATGATACCACTCTGGCCGTATACGAGTGTTCAAATCGTTGAGGAAATTATCTAATGGAATCGACTCTCCTCAGCTGACCATTGAAGTTCGACACTCTCGTGCGAGAACAGCGGCCGAGCACGGTTCTAAACTTCTGCGGTGAAGACATGAATATTCTCTGACTGAGTGCCTTTTTATTATCGGTGTTCTTTTCTGCTCTCGGATCGCATTATCAAGCATCGCTTCCGCTGTCATCTAGCAACAGATCCACTACGGGATCCTCCCTTAATGAATAAATATTAAGCGAGCACTATGCTGTAACAAACTGTACAATTGTATAGTATCGAAATTGAACATATTTCGCGAGGTTTCTGCATAGTCAATCTGACCACATATCAGTGCGATTTCCCGTTCGTTGATTTTGAGTCCGTAGTCGTTTGTCTGACTGGCGGCAGTACATAGGGGACGGCGAACGCTAACAAGGCCAACACGTGCCCGAAGAAGTACACCTCGCGCCACACGTGCACCGCCTTGCCGAATTGAAGCAATACGAAGGGCATCGTCGTATACGCCAGAAACGCCGACGAGAACACGAACGTCACCACATCATAAAGGAACTGACTCCCAGGACCCTTGACCACCCGCGGTCGTATACAACGACGCATTTTTCGCGACGCCGTTACAAAGAGGGAGCACGTCATGAACGCCAAGAAATAACCCGGATAGAAGCCGTGCCAGACAGCTGATATGAAAAACGTCATCACAGTTTTCGATTCTACCTTCCGATCGTAGCAAACGTGCTTGAGCCATCGCTGTGTGGACACGTTCCAATTGTCGAGGACCACTTTGAGACTTGGTGCGGTCTCGAGCTTGAAGATGCGGATGTTGTCCGCGCCGTCCCATTTTTCCTCTCCTTCAGGTGTCACATAGTATCCGTAACCGGATGAGTTGCAAACCGCTTCCGACATTTTCCAAACGAGGTAATACTGAGCACGGCTTAGAAAGCTGAACAGCGTGAGGTAGAATACCTTCTTGAGGAGAGGCAGCGCACCGTACCACTCGGATAGGAGTTCTGTCTCGGTCAATTTTGGCACCGCGAATAAAATGAGCATTGCGTTGATTACAACGTATAAAACCTTTCTGAGAACTTCTCGGTGGGGTGAGGGGGGTGGTTTGTCGGCTCGGAGGTTCCTGCCTTCGGCGATCCGCAGGAACTCGTTGTACGAGATTAGGGGTCCGGCGAGTATTTCGTGGAAATCGAACATGTAGGCGAAGTAAGAGAGCGCATCGGGCTGCTCCTTGACGGCGTCTCTTTTCTGCTCCTCCGTTGTGCCCTCGGGCTGCGCCCCGTCTCGGAGGCTGAACGCGAGCGTGCTCAAGCGCTGCGTGAGCATCATGATCGCGCCGGTAATGTCGATCGTGTATCCGTCGGGATCAATGTACTGACGAATTACGTGGCAGATCGACTGATAACCCAAGGCAGCCATCAAGGTGAATTGGGGTAGCTTCGATATCGGAATGGTTCTCATGAGGACATAGCCGAGAATGGCTTCGGCGATCACGTGTAGAACGTCTCGCCCGTAGCAGAAATAAAGGATCGACAGACCAAGTACAATGAGGCTGGCCTTCCTAGTGGCCACTGATGCAACACCTACAGGCAATGCTTTACTGTAAAGATAGCCGAGTCCTATAGATGAGAATCCGGCCAAGAGAAAGTTGAGCTTGTCCACTTGCACACCGACCATTTGAGCGACGGGTTGTAACATGACCGAGCCATGGTAGTTGTCAAGCTGAGATTTCCAATGCGACATGATTGCAGAGGGCGGTCTCTGGAGCCTGAGAAAGTTCAATCGACAGCTTGCCGCGATAAGTTAATGTTTTCGCTCTCCTCCTCCACACCCCAACGAGCTTCACGAACGGACCTTTGAGAGAGCCTGCGTCGAGCGTGAGCTTCCTTTGAATTCACCGCATCACAGACGTTGTGTGAACAACCTGCAACGTCGACAGAAAGCACGTGTTAGTTCGGGCTGAGACGGTCTTACTCTGACAGGGAGGGACAGGAGATCCTGATTTGTGAAGGTGGGAATTTCCGACGCCAGAAATAAGCTTCACAAAAAACGAGTCCTGCACAGAGGTGATGAATTTCTTTCCGAATCCTCGAGACGCGCAATCTTCCCAATTGGTCGTACTCGTCAGTCTAATTCATCTCACTGGATAATAACCGAGCAATCGCACGTCTGCTAGCAGAATCTGCGGGAATGCATCTCAACTGATCACTGAGCCGAATCCTCCGCGCGGGCTCACTGTGTAATCTTTTCTAGTGGACTGGTCGCGAGCAGAGATACCTATCGAGAGTTTTGTCGGAGAGAGAGAGAGAGTTCGGGCGTTTTGAGGGAGGCGGAAGCTCTCACAACTTTCTTGCCCATGAGTGCTGCGACTCTCTCCCGACGAGCTACTGCGAGAAATGTGGACAGTCGTGTGACTTGGAAGAAGGGCTGGTCCGCTCTGCTCATTAGAGGCTTTCCGTTCGACAATCGGATCGGCGCCGCAATCAGATTGGTGGACAATGAGCCCTGTCTCGTGCAGAGCTCCGGGTGACCGGAGCCGCATGTCACACAGTTTAATCATGTCGGCAGGACGTCAATCTGGCTGGCGGAAACAGCTAATGATGAATCGCATTCAGACAGCGGAGTTTTCATTGAGAATCTGTATAAGAAGGGAACTGCTTGAGAAACGTGAATCTGAAGTCTCTTCCACGTGATCGAGCGATCTAGGAAGAAATGATCCGACTTCAGTTATTTCGAACAATTTCCTGCCCATGAATCGAATCACAGACGAGCAGAAAATATGGTAGCACTTATTAACTTCCATGTGCATGGCGAGCTCGTTTAAAACGATCGCCTACAGGTGTAGGGCGGCTGGACTCGGTCTTCCGAACGACTTCTCTAGGAACACCCACGAAACTCTTCGTAATCTTGAGCATCACTTTCTTCCCAGGCTTCGACAGCATCCAAGGTCAAATGTCGATGATGTCAGGATTTCGTAAATCGCTTAGATAAACCACAGATCACGATCCGCAGGCAGAAATGACTCGGACGAATCAGCGAGCCGCTTCCGAGTTTTCCCGGTCACAATGCAACCCGTCGGGGCTGCTGATTTAATAGTTCCGTTGTTAAATCAGTGTGATACGATCCAACGCAACGTAACCAAAGCCTCCAGCAACTGGATTGCGCGGCCGTCGGTTTTTTGAAAGGAGTGAGTTTCGCATCGAGCAGTAACATGAAGGTCAGGCGTCAGGCGCACGCTTATGGCTCGAGCCGCGACGGACGGCGATCACACAGCGTTTTGGAAAACAGGCAGAAAGTTTTTCTGTCCAAGAAATCGTCGTCGGGATAAGTAAGCGATTGATTCGGCGTCTTGGGTCGAATCGGTCGTTTGCCTCCCGCAGGCATTTGTATGATCAGCTGCTTCTGTATTTTCCTCGTTGGAGCAGCTCCTGGGTTCCTCGTTCAAAGAACGCACTTTCGATTCTTCCGAAACTCCCTTCCTCGATGCCTCAATGAATCGTAAGAAAACCGAGAATTGATTAAAATTTTCCGTCGTGGTCGGAACCAGTTTTCTGCACGGAAAGGATGATTGCAGCTCTACGGGAGGAAAAACCTCCGAAAAAGACTCCTCGAACGCTAGGGAAATCGCTCTCCACAATCGATCGGAGCAGAGGTCGAGTCGAACCGATGGCTGCCACGACATCTGCGTCACCGCGGTCGCAACCGTATTCTGTTGGATCCTCAGTCAGATCGAGATTATCGTTGTCATGCGGAACTGGCGCGTTCACGGTCCGGAATATAATAACTATCGGAGCTGTCGGCTAGAGAAGTACAGCCTGAGAAGGAAGTCTGACCGCGGTGACAGGGACGGAAAAACAGTGGAGTCTTTGAGCGCGGATCACGCTTGAACTCCAGCCAAAAGAGATGCGCTGCTCTGAGCGTCACCGCTGTCTCATCGCCGTTCGCCGGACTGACTGTTGCTTGGGAGACGGGCCCGATTCACGAATCGAAATGCAAAGTCCACCGCGCGGCTTCCGACCGTTTCGAACTTACCGACCGCATGCAGATATCATGTCACGAAATTTGGCACCGGAGAGCGTGAGTCAGGGTTATACGTGGACGTGGGAGTATCGCACCCGAGCTGGTGCGACCGCCAGTAGTGCCCGACTGTGTCTGCTGTTGCTACGATTGCCGCCGACACTGCTTCGACGACGCGGCCGCTTGCTGTTGATGTTGCAAGTTCGGAGAAGGCTCAAAGCACAGCCCCCAAACACAACAAGCATCGCACACACGAGTTTGCGAAGGCGTGCTGCGGAGGGAACGTTTTCTCTCCTTCGTCGTGTTCCTCTCAGTCTCTTGCGTATCCCTTGCCCATGGGTCCGGGTGCTGTTTTGTTTCCCTGACCGTTCGCTGCCAGCTCGCCACAGATAGCGATGGTTATTGACCAACGAGTCCGGTTTTCGGTGGATGCGACCGATCGATCGCGTTACTGGTTGGTTTCGCTCCGGACTCCCAGTAACGAAGTAGCTCAAGCGTTCCACAGTCTCTGTATGAGACTGCCCCGGGCAGATGATCCCGTGTTCTCAGAATCGGCTCGATTAGCTCAGATTTTGTGGGGCACTTTCACTGAGACCTTGACTTCGGCCGAAACCACAGGGGATACCGCAGAATTCGGATTTCGGGCGGATCCTTAATTGTCCGTAGACGATCATCGGCCGTTCTCCGATGGATGAATGCACCGACAGGGAGCGCTTAAGACGAACTATGGGTTCTTGTCCTAGGACCTTTCAATCGGTGGGCAGTTGTCATTGGATGTGGTGGTGGATGATGAGGCTCTCGCTTTCTTGTTTATGCTCTGGTTCCGGCTAAAGCCACCAGGGCGGCGCCACTGGCTTTGGAGAAGCGCCCACTGTGGTAGCCGTCATAGAGGTGCGCGGTTGTGAGAGCCTGTCTTGTTTTGCCGCCTTGAAGAAACCCGCGCGTCCCCGTCCGGAGGGATGCAGCGCTTCTCGGGCGGTCAACGTGCTAGTCCTAAGGGGAGTTTCTGATTTTTCCTGACGAGTCATCAAAGATCGTCGTGACCGTCGCGACTCGGTCATGCGAGAACAAGAAGAGTAAGATCTGTCGCTGCACGAGATCCAGTAACTCAGTTTGTATCCTTCACAAGAAACGCTAATGCACCCTGAGCAAGCATCTTGCCTCTAGAGGCGATCCACTGTACTTCCGAATGTTGCCACGGTAAACTGCTTCACATCACGAAATCGAAGTCCGGCTGTGCTCTCTCTTTCCTTACGTGACTATTCAAGAGGAGCCCCGCGGAATCTGGGGCTTTCGCTGCTTCGCCTCAGTTCATGTCTCTCTTTTCCTCCATTTCTCCCGGTGGTCGGCTGCCATTATTTTTCGACGTGGCCTGAGCCCAAGATCTCGGGGATCGACTCCATCTCGACATCAAGTCATCCGGGGAGGGCGAGGAACGATCACGGGCAACGTGGAAACTGAGTACTGTAATGGTCGGAATCGCCCCCCCTCGACGAACGCCGACGCTGGACCATGGACGAATCGACGGGTAATCACATTTCATCGAGCCAGAAAGTGTCTCCCCGTGGCTCAAATGCCCGACTTTTCGCATTCTTTCTCCAATTCGTGCTTTTCCTCAGGGTTCCCGGCTCGGCAAAGCCGCTCAATTCCGACCTTCCCAGCGCCGTGCGCCGGGTTTTCAGCTCCAACTCATCCTATGGTCGATTCTGATCATAAACTGGGCGTCGTGATTAAAGGGATCTTAGTGAGATCTGCTATCCTGGAGCTTCTCATGCGCTTCGCCACTTGGAGCTGTCGCTGCCTCAGGTGAAGGTCGGTTCAAGAATGATCACCGTCCACCCCGTCGTGATTGAGGCCACGGATCAGTCAATGACCGTGGAACCCGATCGATACACGGTATCGTGTTGCCAGCATGAATTCCGGGAGCTATCGGCTTGCCATCGAGCCTGATATCTTCTCGAGCGAGCCGAGAGACTTGACTACCTATCGGGTTCCATCGAGTTTCGATGCGAAATTCGATCCGCGCGCTCTGCGATGATTACATATCTGTAATTCCCTGAACAGCAGGGATCCTGTTGTTGAGCTCAGGTCGAAACCGCCCCCCTCACCCCTTGACCCAGCCCCAGCATAGCGGTTTGGAATGTCACGTACACGTGGAACACCTTCGCTCAGCTCTAAATTACGATTCCCATGGCATAGGGAATCCTCCGCACAAATCCATCTCTCATGCGTACCATATTCATCCCTCGAGCCGAATCATCCTTACCCATTCTTGGAAACCCGGGCGTCCTGTACGTGGGCGAAGATTCACGCATGCTCTGTATAGGCCGCATCACCCAACGACTTAAGTCGCTCTAGACATGACTTTGAGGTTTCGAGGACGGTCCTTGGGGAAGTTCGGGGACTCAGGCGATGATGGGTTCGGTTCTGCGACGAGAGACTGGCGGAAACGGAAACCAAGACCCTCGCAAAGCATTGCAGACCTCGTGAAGTCAACGCTCCGACAGGGGCGAGTCGCCGGCTGTTCCACTGACTTGACCGAAATTCAGCGTCATAAACCTAACTCGATTCAGGCAGGATCGCCCATGACGGTGATAGATACGCTCGATCGGTAGCTCCCCAGGAATTCGTCATTCGCATTGCAGAGATTTCAGAGATTCCCCCGGTTTTTCTCCTGAGCTCGTAGGGCCGCCCGCCCGGAGAAAAAGCGAAGCCCTTGACGAGAATCATTCGACGGGGTCTCCAGACACCTTCCGATATCAGAAGGTGCGAGCCGGGTGAAATGATCCGCCCGCCTCCGGAGAAGTCAACCCCCGACTGCGAAATCTCCAACGACATCGAATCGATCATCAAGCACGATGAGTATGGGAACCCCGGGAGGATGCGTGGGTGCGTTCTGATTCCGCTCTGGTGCGAGCAGACATACCTAATCGCTTGTTCGGTCCGAAAGTCGCTAGGTCTTGAACCGATGAACTTAAACCTCATGACTTGGTGCCGAATCAGTCACGCAGGCAGTGCTCGTTTTCATGAGGGGTAGCCTGATCGAGTTATTGGCTCATTTGTGAGGCCGAGCTCTCGAGCTTGGGAGGAAGGGAATCTCGGCTCGGGACTCAGAACTGGGTCGTTTATGATTTCCACGTCAGAGACATCAAGGGATTCGCGAGAACGTGTCGCAACTCGTCATCTCGCCCAGAAATGTGTCTTGGGAAGCTATCAGCCCTAGGTAGGTCAACGTTTCCGTCGTGCGAGGCATTCGACATCATCACGGGGTTACATCCGTAGTCGACGGAATTGCTGAATGGTGCTGAGCCAGCTGCGATCTATTGCTTAGCTGTCCACGGACAGCATTAGCTTCGCAGAGGTCGCGCCGACGACTTCAGTGCCTCATGCTTCTCTTGGAAGTTCGTCGTGCAACTCGATAACAGCCACGCCGTGGTCTTGCTCTCGAAATGCACATATGAGTCTCGATGCTCTGTCCGGACAGACGAGCGATTCAAGGATTCGAGGGGTTTGCCGAAGAACAAAAGGAGGGCACGGCATTCAAGATTCAAGAGCGATTCCCTTCATTCAAACTCAACAGCGATTTGCATTTTTTTTTATTGGTGATGTCCCGTTCCGAGGATCCAGTCCTACCCGCTATGAGCTTGTGGTCGGTCAACGGCCAATTCCAAGCGAAGTCACCCTCGATATCTTGTCTCTGGAGGAGCCACCGCACCCGCGTGATACACATATTATAGTGGCCTCAATATTTTATCGGCTATCAAAAAGATCTTCATGATAAAGCTACGGGACAAGCCTGTCCGCGAGTCTCCTTGCTTATCAAACGGCGTCTAGCAGTAGCACCGGGGGATTACTATACAACGCTATACATCAGAGTCCTAATGATTTCTCGGGACGATTTCGAGCGGCGGAGATCGCTGCTGGCGGAGAATCTCATCGTAGGCCTCTCGTTCTGCCGCATTCCCGGGACCCCAGTCTTTTGTCGGTCGGAAAGCCAGGCGTACATCCTGTGGGATAAAAAAATCGCAATGGGTCATGCAGAGAACGTAAGGTCTAGAATCTGGAACAACGAAATCCACACGGGATTGGTGTGCGGTGCGTAACTTACATGACGGTACTTGTAGAGAGCGTACAAGAGGTAAAAGGGTACCTGTACCATTGACATCAACGCCATGCTCCAGCCCAATCCTTCCGCCCATGCGGGGTAGGCGATTTTCTCATCATATAATAGAGGTTCGTGGGTCGCGAGACCGTACAAGAAGAGGAACTGCGAAAAATTCCACCCTTCAATCCATAAGCGTTCCGGATCGAAATAATTCCGAATTCTTCTGTCAAGGGGAGTAAGTCTGAACTGCCGTAATACACCAAAAGCAAATTCGAAAAACACTCACTATCAAAATTACGGGCGAGAAGAATGCCCACGACACCTTCCAGAATCGAGACTGTTTGTGTCCCAGCATGAATTCGAAGTCACCGCAAATCCTCTTCAAGCCTGAGAATACATAGGTATGATTTGGAGTTCGTAACTCTCTTTGACTTGATTCCGAAAGCTTGATGTTCGCTTTTCTGAATGCAAGCGTTCGAGTAAACTAATGGATCTTCCTATTCCCATTCACGATAGCAATCGGCTCCGGAACCTCCGTCCACCCATTATTCCTTATTACCAGCAGGGGCTGCTCGGCCCTGAGCTCCGGACAGGACTCACCATACACCCAAGCTATGGCAATAACCTCGAATATGGCGATGTATACGACAGCGGAACCTCCTCCATATGTATCCATTAGGTTGAACACGTATTGCCCTCCTTGCATCACGCAAGGAATTCCCAAGAAGAAGCACGCAAGGCAGACCACGAACGTGAGGAGCGTTTTGTGCTTCCGCAGCTCTGGTTTTTCGTCGTATATCGACGTCAGCAGCGTTTCTATCATGGCGAACTAGAAGGAATGTGCTGTCATTCGCCGGACACACAGAAGGAACCTCAAGCTCGATTATTATCAGCCACCTTTGTGATGGACGCTCGACGAGAGAATCGAGAATCAGCGGAGAATTAGGAGGACAAGCTCACCTCGCTGTCGAGACCTAGTAGAAACAGCATGAAGAAAAACAGGAAGGACCAGAGCTGGGGCCAAACAAGACGACTGAGTGCTTCGGGGTACGCTACGAATGCGAGACCTTGACCTTGCGTTGCTACCTCATCGATAGGAATTCCGAGCTCGTGAGACATATTTCCCAGAATAGAAAAAATCACGATACCCCCGATGAGCGACGTCAGGAAATCCATGGTAGAAATAAAAAACGCGTCCCTGGAAAATGTGCACTCATGAATGATCCTCTCATAGTCTCTCCGTTCTCACAAACTGGCCCGCGATTCATGACCTCAGAAGCCCATTCCGGATCCACCTTGATCTCTCGGAAATCCTTACTTGTGTACAGGGTTACGGAACTCATTGTAGCTGCCGAACATTATGATGGCACCGTTCGCAACACTTAGGGAATAGAAGAGTTGTTCTGCGGCTTTGCGCCAAATCTGCAAGAGGAACCCCATGATCATGGAAAAGTATGCATTTTGTGTAGATTGTCGATTAGCAAGTCGCCTTGAGATCTCAGATCCCAATCAGGGACAGCGACTCATCGCAACATACCTGGAGCTCCGTGATTCTGGACCAATCGGGCAGAAGGAAATAAAGCACACCTTCGCGAGCTCCGTCGAGAGTCAGTCCGCGGATGAGTAGGCAGAGCAGAACAACGTACGGGAAGGTTGCAGTAAAATACACAACTTTTCCAGTAGATTTCACGCCTTTCATCAGACATAAGAATACGAGGACCCAACAAAAGGCAAGACAAATCGCCAAGTCCCACCGTATGGATCCCATGTTATCGATGCTTTCCGTCAGACCTAGAACGTGTTTGCTTCGGGAAAAATTGGGAACTTTACTTCACCGAAGAGAAGGGTTCCCTTCCACCGACGTCACATGCGCACTAACAGAAGAGATCTAGCCACAAGTAGTTGAATAAATTATCCCACGGAACTCACGTCCAAAATTGTTGACTGGCGGTCTCAGTACCGTTCGCGCAATTTCTCATGACCGAGTTGTAGAGCATCGGGTCTACGACCGCCGTCTTATTCGTGGACGAGGTGATCGTGAAACCCGCAGCCACCGGACCTCGAGCGGCAAACAGATCCACGAGGCGATTCCTTTCGACATCGCACCGCGCCTATGAAAGCAGAAATACGCGCTGAACTGAGATGTTACGAGACCGACGGCGTTGTCCCTCGAATAGTACCGCTGTATAGCGCTACGATTCAGAAAGCTAGATGAGGAGAGAAGCTCACCACGCCTTCCTTTCGTACGTAGCACTGGCTGTCCGCTCCCCACCAGGATTCACAGGAAGCCCACGGTAGCTCAGAGCGGAAACTTTGTGCCATATAGAACACAGTGTATGCAATTATAACATTGTAATATATCGCCACTATAGTGGCCGTAACCAATTGGGCATATCCCACACCTGGAAAAGCCACAAAATGAAAGAAGAAATCTCCAATTACAACGTGAGTATTTGGCAAACCAGGTGAGCATGCGAAGAGCACCAAGAGAAATTATCGACGGCGGGGCGTCGACGCTTAAGCTCACCCTTGAAAGCAGGCGCGCATTTCCACAAAGTGAGCACGCTGGACGACGTAAACTGGCCGAGAGCGAGCTCGAGATAGTAGAGAGGTTTGCCAATGAGCAACATGAGTATGACATACGGCAGAAGGAATGCACCTGAGGGATTCGAATTCATACCGTCAGTTCTCGAGACCCCGGCAGTCTCCTACTGAGAAGGAGCAACTTCACGGACCTCATCCCCGAAGGCTCCGAATAAATTAATTTCTAGATTTTTCACAGAGGTCGAAATTCTGGATTAGAAATACCTCCGCCATTCTGATAAGCCAGGAATGGAAATCTCCAAATGTTTCCAATCCCTACTGAGAGACCGATGCATGAAAGGATGAACTCCGTTTTATTCGCCCACTGCCCCCTGGAGGGAATTGCCTCCTCCCTCGAATCGACCGCTTCATGCACGCTCGATGCGCTCTGCTTGGAAAATATCCTCATCATTCGTGTCGTTGTGACCTCGCTGATGGAGCTCTGCGGAATTTCGCTCGGATTGTTCCACATTCCCATTTGCCGTGGGCACTCACCTTCTCGTTCCGGTAATCGTTTAGAGAGGCGCCTTTGTACTCGTATGTTTCGTCGTTGGAGAACGACCTGTTGATAAATCCCGAGTTCCTCTCATTCTCCTGTGGATAGTCATGGGTTTCAGAACCTCACACGGACTCTCGAGCTCGAACTCCTTCGGAATGCGCATCTGAGGACTTTGTGAGATCGGATAGGATACATCCGATACCCGTCGCAGTTGTACCATAGCGCGAGGGGCTTCCAGGAGTTCTGCTCCCTCCCACAGACTCTTCTGTGAGCTCAGTGCATGAAGACGACGAGAGGGAAAATTTCGATGGAGCTTCACGATGAGCAAATTTCACAATTCTGCTCGTGACCCAATGAGAATGACTCGGAGAGCATCCGAAAATCGCGGGAGCGAAGAAGCTCGCATTACCTCCCTTTCTCCAATTTGCTCCTCCACGGGGTCTGGTTGGACGCGTCCTGGTCGCGAGATGAGGATTGCTCGAGGAAATTTCTTCGCTTTGAAGGAAAGCAAGCGAAGAACTTCGCAAACCTTCGACATCACTGGAAGATCCATGCCGTTCTTGACACCACCCTCACTTTATGTCGATTTGTCGGAATTCCCGAATACACAACTTGATCACCGCTTCCGAATTCGACCGTCATTCTCATTGGGTTGACAATATGCGAATCAATATCGAACGATCGGAACGATCCTAAAGGGGCACGGAGAATCGTTTCGCTCAGTAATCATCTTCGGGACAGCCGTACTTTTATCGGATCGGAACTGTTCTCTCCATGTAGTCTGTCTTTGTTTGTCGGTGTGATGTCGTGACGAATTCGTTTATGATAGCTTCAAATATTCAGTGCCGAGGCGATGGAATTCAAAGAAACATGCCGATAGGATTCTAGGGCGGATAAATCTAGTCTGGGTTTGGCAGAGGCTCCATGGAAAAGTATGATCGATCGCTGAAAAAGAATAGATGCTTCCGATGAATCTGGATTGCATACGATCACTAACTCGGTCTCACGCTAGACGTTCGATGGTCTTTATCCTCTTCTGGAGCTACATTGAAGAGGTTGTTATTCCGTGACAGCCGTTCTGTGAATTGACTGACAAGCACGTGTAGCGGAACTGGATTCTGCTGAACAGGAATCACGCACTGGGACTCGCCATATTTCCTCCGACGCGACCGACTTATCCATTTTCATTTGAGAATCTCCAACGAGTCACCGCTCGACGAGCCCCGTCTTCGGCCTCCTTTTACACCGCGTGGGTACCCGGAATACGCCGCCGCCAGGAAGAATCCCCCCGAAAATCACTGTTTTGACCTTTCCTCGCGCGATCATGCATCATGGAATTGCTGTAATTCCGCAGCGAGACCGTAGGAGTCCGTCAATACAACGCCCTTTGATTCTACTGCCGCCCCAAGTTCATTGAATCGATGCGGTGAGAACTTGTTGAATCACAGCTACGTATGAATTCCAGTTCAGTGTTTGACGTAAAAGCAAGTCTTGTCAGGGAAAGTGTTCTCCTTTGTACAGAAAAAGCGTCGCTTTGGCGCGAGACGCTCGATTGTGAACAACTGGCATGTGGTGGTCGCGTGAGAGAATCGATCGCTCAGGGTGCCGACGAACAGACGCCTAACAAAACGTTTCGAGTGTGAAAAAGGCATGCGCACTAAAAGCATTCTCGCGAGCGGACACTCCCCCTCAAACGAAGATTTTTCCGAAAGGGGACATTTCGGAGTCGCTCACGACATGGAACGAAAACAGCCGCCCGCTTCAGCGTCAATGATCTACCCAAGGTTTATTGCGCGATTAGGGTCCGTACATCAAGAGATCTTCGACAACGATTTTGATCAAATTGAGTCGAGTCTTGGCGCAGTTATTAATAAGATCCATCCACTTGCGATCGATGGTTCCCTCATAAGTCACAATTGAGGCGACATGTGGTAGTTCATCCCAGGGTATATTTTCGGAGGCTCTCGCTCCCACAGAAAACTGAGTCGAGGCTTCTTTCTTCGCTAGCGTTATCTCGCTCCGGAGACCGGGGTTATCCAGGAGGAAACGAACCCATTCGAAGGAAACTAGTCCTCTGCACTCGAATCGCCTTGAACCACCAATTGAGCATCGAACTTCGTTGAGTCGGAGAGCCGTGTTTAGTCCGTAGATCAAAAGTTTCTTCGTGGTTCCGAACACTGGACATTGCTGCACGGAGAACTGAGCATCGAGTTTCTTGGGCAGAGCCCAGAAACAACTCTTAAGATGTAATTCGGCTGCCTCAATACTTTCAGGTATGAATATGTGGCGCTCCTCGATTACATCGCTCCAGCTGTTCCTGATACAGACGGAAATGATCAAAAACGATATCCACATTTCGAACTAGGTGCCGAGTAGACACGCCAGTGCCTGTCTACGACTCGATGGGTTTTTACGACGGAATCTACTGGTGTTCATAAAAGCATCATAAAAGAGCTTGCTCGAAGTGTAGACCCGTCAGATGGGGTAATTGTCGGTTACAGCCGTCCGTGACGTCCTCACCGGCATTTCGAGCTGAACTCCAATTGCAAGTGAGATGGCCGACTGAATTCACCGAGGGTACACCGAACTTCCCTCTTCCCCCTGGGGGACTTGGAAGCTCGATGGGACATTCAGAACAACGTTGCCAACCTCGATATATCGCGTTGATTCCTCCCGTTCCGAATGGGCTTCATTCGTCAACTTCGAACGCTCCTCACCAAGAAAATACATGAACTGCTAAAAAACGCAGGAGTGAATGATAAGACTTTTCTGGTTCTCACTCCGTAAACAGAGCTAGTTTGTGAATTGACGTTTCTGTGGTTGCGAACTATTCGATCAGCCCGTTTCATGCAGCCTTCAAAGGCAACACAAGCCACGGAATTTCACGCGAGTTCCCATCAAATGTCGAGCCAAAATTCACAGGCTATAGCTGGATAGTCGAAATGCAGTAACCGTGTGGAAGCACTCGATAAATTCTTCCATTGATGAGCCGCCCCGCGACGATCCGAATCACCAGGTCAGAGATTCACGCCGCCCGGGTCATGTATGATTCTCCGAAAAATGCAAAAAATACCAGATCTGGGGCGATATTAGGGGTCACTATTGTCTGCTGCTCTGCACGCTGGATCGGAAGGACGTTGCGAGCTGCGGACAAATCTTCGGCTCGTTTGCTATCGTATTGTTGACGTCCGATCAGGAATTCCGGACTATAACATCATCATCTTCATCAGACATTCGATACACGCCAAGGTGAGTCGGATCACTGACTACCGAGCAATCATCAGAATTGTCAATGCAAAAACGGTTTCGGGTTTCTGATTTTCGGATTTTTCCCCCAGCGGTACAGGGTCGATTTTCCGGAAGCGAGAAGCAACCTCGCCAATGGCGCGGGATGGCTGAGTCTCGATGTTTCCCGTTGGCTCTTCGATTTCGAAGTATTGATCAGATTTTCCCCGTATTCTTGCGTTCCCTAGAACTCAGCTTCCGCAGGCACCAATAGAGCCCGACTGATGAGGAAATCGGCGACATAAGTCCGGCGAGCCGTGTTCGAGTCAACGATACTTCGTCTCCCTCGTTCTGTCCCGAATCGACAGCTGTCTCAGGTCTGGGTTTCGACACGCCGGATCTGACACCTACGAGCGTAAGAGCCGTACGTCGCCAAAATGCCGCGGGGTCGAGGGAGCACGGAACGTCGAACTGAGGTTGTGGGGAGGATCTAGGTACTCACTCTGACATTCCGCGTATAGTCGTCCATTGAACTCATCCTGGCTCGAGGGGTAACTCGAGGGGACCGCTCTGAGAATTCGTCCAGACGAGGTGACTGCTCACAAAGCATTCATGTGCTCAATGGTCGTTCTTTTTGTGTTGCGCGGAGAGTGGGAAGCGATGGTAACTAAACGCAATGCCACCAAGCGCAGCGACCATGTGCCGACAGCGAGTGATTGGGCCGCTTGCGGCGCCCCTAGTTTTTCTGCTGCGACTTCGGAACCCGAGGAGAAGGGAGTAGGAGCACAGATTCGCTTGGGGAGCTCCGTGTAGCCGCTCCTCCCAGCATTCGTCATAGAGAGACGTCGGACCCGGTATGAGTACATATTGCGTCTCGTTGGGCCAGCTCGTCTCGATTCTAGAAGTTCTCCGGGAATCTGGGCGAACGCAGCGTTTTCGGGCCGATCGGCAGTTGTCCGAACCGATGGCTCAGTGTCGGTACCGTGTTAGAAGTCAGACGCTCTAAGTGTAGACGGGAGCTTGACTCTGAGAACTTTATTTGTTTCACTGCGGAACGGTTTGGTACGATGACATGGGATACAGATGGATCTCACGACCTTTCACCGCCACCGACCATCCCCCGCCCGCTACATAGACCGGCTGCGCCTTGGAGGTCGCAGCAGAACTTCGATCACCGGTTGCTGCCGATTCGTATTTCGGAACAGCTGACGGCGCCTGAAAAGTCGGATAGGGCATGTGCTGCGGCACGTATTGCGCCTGCTGAGGCCGCGAGTCCCAGCGTAGAAGCAGATAGCCGTTCGGGAACAACTTCGAAAGCTCGGATTGCTGCATGAAGTGCAGCTCTTGCTCAGTTTGTTGTATGATTCGTGGCTGATGATCGGGGATTTGCTGTGCTGGTCCGGGGGCGGTTTGTGATGGTTGCTCAAACTCTTGTATCTCGGGCGACTCTTGTTCAGATTCTTGCATCATGTACGTCTCCTGCTCGGAGATTTGTTGCACGGGCGGTGCTTTACTTTCTGCGGCTAACCGAGCCGAGGCATTCGAGAATGGATTGCCGTAGTTTTGGATGTATGTCTTCAAGAATTCTTCAGCTTGCTCTTCGGCTCGCAATTCCAACGGATCCTTCTCCTGAGAATGAGCATCGTAACCGAGCTCTGCGGGGGCCGCTTCAGAAATTTCTTCGATTGCATCTTCTCCTTGCGAGGTTGCATCGCTTTTCGAGCAGGCCGAATCTAGAAGTTCTCCACTCGCCGTGCTGGGTGTTGAAGTATTTGCGTTGATGAATCGCGAATGGCTGCAAACGAGACGAAGTTCTAATCATCACTCACGGTCCTCAAGGAACAATCGTGCAACGAACTAATTCGTTCGAGCCAGGAGACTCGCTTACGTTCGCTTCATGGACTTGACGAGCTCATCGAGCTCATGCTCATAATCGTACGCTTCTGAAAACGGGAGTTGTCTTCAGATGTTTCGTCGCCTGGACAATTCTTCTGACGGCTAAGAACCGCTCTCTTCGAGCCATCGTATAAAATCGAGACATCAAGTACTGAGGGCTGAGCAAAGTGTAAATGGCAGCTCACCCATTCCGAACCACGTCGTCTCTCTGTAACGAAGACTTTGTTGAGCTCGCTATCGCTTCGAGCTTTTATGGAGCGAAACTTTTCATGCTGAATCCGCATTCTGCAGACGTAGCGTTTTCCGTTGTCGAAGGATGCAAAATGTCATTATCTTATGCAGCAGTTCTCGAGCCTGTCTCTTCTTTACAGATAAGTTCTGAATAATTCCGGTAGTTTTGTTCGGAGCCGAGCCAAAGGAAAGATCGCCTGCGGGGAAGTGGTTCGACAGCCTATGGCGAATCGGCGTTCTCGAGAATTTTCCCCTCAGTCGCGGAGTCTTCCTTCATGTACTTCGAGTGGAGCACCCTGAAGCGTCCTTTTGATCGCCGCGCCGAGGGAGTACAGGCGAAGTGCTCGCCCTCGAAACACTACGAAAAACCAGCAGGGGAACCTTGATAAAACGAGGCTGTTGGCGTCAGAGCGCGGAGTCCGTGCACGACATCAGTCCACGTAATTCTTATGCTAAAGCGAATTCCACCCCGTTTTCCTCGGAACGTTTGACGCTCCCAGATGCGGCTCACTTCATTATGCATGCAAATAGTTCCAAACCTGTATCGACGGAATGATGGAAACTTTCTTGACCATCCCTCCTTAAAGGGCGGAACCTTTTCTATATCGCAGGTGGCCTTCGACATCTTCTCGAACCATGTCAGGGATTCTTCCCACCCCCGGTGAGTCCTCAAATGGTACCGTTCCGAATGCCCGATTTTAACGTGCCCGATTCTGAGAGGGGAAATATGACGGGAAAATATGACAATGAGGCGACCCCTTCACGTGTTGAGGCCCGATTTCGGTGAGGTTTAGAATGCCCCTCAAATGTCCCCCTGAGCCCCCCGCATCCTCGCCTTGCCGCTGACCGTCGCGATTCGGATCATGAGAACAAGAGCGATTTGAATAAATAGTTGTTTATTCGAAATTGTGTCATGGAAATGCGATATCTGAACGAATGGCTGTTTCCCTCATTTGACTCATTCGATCAGATGAATTGGTCCAGGACATCGACGCCTTGTATTGACAATATTCGATGCGGGAACATTGAAAGGATCTAGAGTTCCACAGAGAGCTCCGCACGACCCGGAATCGACATTCACGGACAAAGATAACGTCTTAAACAAAACAAGGATTAAATTAATAGCTCTCCATAAGGTCGACATTGATCAGGAGGGACCTCTTGGACTCTTGCGCGTGATCCATGAGCCGCGACACGACTGGCAGACAATTCATGATTCCGAAGGAAGTATCGTTCGGGTTTCGATGGAGCAAGCAAGGTAGCTTCTTCTCGTCTCTTTCTTTGGATCATTCGATGGGGGACACTTCCAACGTTGCTGGAGCGATGATTGCTTTGTCAGAGATGATCGGGGAATGGGCTGATGATCAGACTATCAGTTGATTCTGACGATGTCCTGTAGGTTGCTTATGTGTTTGAAAATTTTCACAGCAGGTCCAAGCTTCAGCCCAAGACCGTTGAGGACATCGCTACGACCCAATAAGAGCAGAGACCGACCATCGATTTCCTGAAAACCGGATCAAGTCGAATCTTGAGCATACGTTCTTCGAAGAAAAATCCGCTTCCCCGGCAAACTTTCCGAATGAAGCGGAATCTAGGTACGATTCCAGACAAACTCACCTGCTCCACGAAAACTGGCGCCTCTTTATCATATCCCAGAGCTTTGAAAAAATTCGCGACTTGCTCCGACGTCCAATCCCCGACGAATGGATAATCGATTTGGAATTGAGCGAAGCCTTTCTTTGTCACAAGGAGAGGTGGGGACTTCGGTCTTGCAGCTAGAGGGATGGGGATCAAAACCTGTCCTAGAATAGCTGCTTGACCATTCGTTATCGGCTCAGCAGCGGTCAAGACTAATGACGGTTCTGGAGGAGGAACGATGGAGGATTTTTTCGCAGCTAGTGAGACTCCGTTGTTGGTTTTGTCTTTGGCATTTTGCGGAGCAACCTGCGTAGATAGCTTATTGCTCTGTTGTTGAGGTTTTTGAGCTTCCGCGACGATCCTGCGAAACAGATCGGGAGGTGAACTCAGGATTCTTCCAAACCGAGCAGCATAAATTAAGGATTTCAACAGAATCATATGCGACGCCTGCAGCGTCTTTGCGCTCAACTGCTTACTTTGGAATCTTGCTTTTCTTATGTTCAGCGATTTTGTTCTCCTCTGCGGCCTGTGGGATAGCTGGGGAAATCTCGCGTCGATTTCTCGGGGGCAAAATCTCTAGAAGTTTCCTTCGTAGCTCAGAAGTGGTCTTCTGTTCTGTATTTTTCGACTTCGTGCTCTGAGCGATTGGAGCGTTGTTGTCCGTGGCATTCTTCGAATTGTTGTTCTCAGTTACGATCACGGCTTCCTTCTTATCGGAGGTGTCTACACCGGCTTCGGATTTTATCAAAGTCGGTTCTGGAGAGGCAGCAGTTGACAATGACGTTCCGTTGTTGCCGAGGGAGTTTTCGTTGTTGGACACCGGACTACAGGATGAGCTCCGAGAGGCCTTCGAAGAGTCTGATCTCTCAGGATTAGAGAGCGGCTTCTGCTGCGAGACTAACAGCATAGCGTTCGCGGCGGCGTTAGCTGAAAGAGGGTGTACGAATTGAAAGTCAAAGACCAGGAAACAAGTCGACGAGTACCGTACAGTGGACTGCCTCCTGACGGTCGCTTTAGTTTTCTCATGGAATAAGATTCGAGCAGCCTACCTTTGAGCTTCTCTTTCTTGTTGACTTCGTAATTACATTTGCGGCACATCCAAGGTTGGTCTCTCGGCTTCGTGTCGAGAGGCGGCCGAAGACAACTCAGGTGGAAAACTGAGTAGCATTGACAACAATGGATGATATCATTCCCTGCCATTATGGATGCTAGCGTCGTCTTACTGCGCTCTTTCAAGGGAATCTCCACCGAAGCCTCCCAATGGCAAATTTTACAGGGTTTGCATCCGAGACAGTAGAATTGCTTATTGGCCGAGATCTTGGCGATGGAACGATCCGTCAGTTGCAGACAGCGAGCGTGAACTGCAAAGGAGTATGCGTCAATGTAGATTGCACCCGACCTCATCAAAAAACGCATTGGTTCAGAAGTTTAAACGAATTATCTGAACCGTGGCCGTGTCTATGTCTGTGAGCAACTTACCATAGATTTTGCAAGCGGAGCAAAACAGCAAATTAGTGCTGATGTCTTTCGACTTGCAAATGACGCAGGTTGAGAGGTGCATCTTACACTCGAGTTGTGGGACATCGGTCTGCCAATCAGGCCCGTGGATTTTTTTCGTCCGTTTACGACCGCTCATGCGGGCGACAGGCCCCGAGTTGACGTCCGTTGAAAATTTCCGTTTTTTAGAAGTTGCTTCTTGAGAGTCAGAATCAGAGCTCACCGCGGAATTCGGTCGCGACGCTGTGGTCTCTGGTTTGGTCGACATCTCCCTCTGGTTTTCGCCGTCCTCCGAAAAAAGCCCTGTATGTTTCTCGGTCTTGCCCTGGAATAAGAACATTCCCATATAATCCACGTAATATTATCAGAATCTAGATAATTGTGGCCGAATACTACTCGCGCATACGATTGGAACAATTCATCGGACTCATCTAAGATCACGACACAAGGCCGGACTTTAAACAGCCTGATGCGGGAGAGCTCCTCGGAATCTCAGCCCGTGGGCGAAAATACGAGTACCGTACATTCATCGCCCGGTTTCGCATTGGATACTGATTGAAGTCGAGACTGACCTCGTTTGCGACGGGACGACCGAACGCTTCCGTGGTGTCCTGAGTATCTTCCTCCGTGTCGGAGCTGAACGATGCGGCCGCTTTCTCACCGGGAACGGTCTGACGATAGCTTATGTGACCTGCAAATCAGGAAACCTCATCAAACGTACCGAAGATAGCGGAAGCTTCCCCGGGTGGCTCACAACTGGTGGATCAAAAAACCAGGGAGAGTTTACTAAGCATCCTGAATCCCCGAATTCGTCACACTTATTCTCCCGTAATCAGGGGGATCTGATATTTGCGCAGCGACGTGTTTCCAGGGTATTCCCTCTCTCAGCCTCTCGTGATGGTGCTGGATTTCTCTTTTAGAGGCTCAGATTGAAGGAGTGATTCAGCTCGTAGCGATGAGAATGCATTCATCGGCAAATAAACGATGATGCACTGCATCCAAAATGTAGGAGACAATGTATTTTCGTGTTGATGTCCGCAGATGGAACACTATCTTGAACGGTATATTCCAGACAACGCCGTCGAGCGATATCAACAATAAACCAACCTTTGAAAGACTTGCGAAACAACTTGTTCTCCTTCTCGAGCTCAATCAAAGCGTCCTCCAGAGCGGCCTTCGAGAGCTTGAGTCTTTTCCGGCTCAACAATGTGAAGATGTTGTCTAGGTCTGGCCGATTTTTTCTTTCTCGCAACTTGCTGATGGCATCGCTTATCGCTTCCCAATATTCCATAACTCTAAAACACAAAATGAGCGAATTTGACGCGAGCTCGAGGCGGGAAGCCAAGCTCAGAGATGAGAACAGAAGGGAAGCTTTCTTCCCAGGTGCGTGAATGAGTTGAGGAAGGGAAGCGGTGAAGAACCGCGCAAGGATCTTGACTTCGCATCGCCTATCTCTTCCGTCACTGTGCTCTGTGCACCATAGATCATTTGGTCTATGCCTCCGATGAGGGAACTGTTCGCCTCTATGGACGATCAACTTTCATTTCGTTCCCCCCACTTGTGACGCGCCGGCTCGGGAGCGATCAGGCACGACAGCAGAAGATACGACAAGAGACTCCGGAGATCTCTCAATACTGCGCAAGCACGTCGGTTCGGTGAAGTCCTCAGTGCCTGCGCGTCCGCAAATGTCTGATCCGGAGCCTTTTCCGAAGCTACAGAGCTTGGCTATTCCCTCGGTCTCGCAGCCCTGTGACAGGAACGATCTAACAGGAACAATTACATCCAAGAGGAGACATTTCGCGGTTTCACATCAAGCGACGTACCACTCCTCGCATCGTGTCCGTCGAACTCGTGCTCAGTGCGATGCGGAGACACGCAATGTGAAAGGCGCATCGTCACGCTTCCCGAGAGGTTTCGGAGTTTTCAGAGAAGTGACAAGGTCACGAATTCCTGGTGATCTATGGCCCATACGTTAGAGCAGTGTCGTATCCGATAGCTTCAGATGCTATCTGATAGGATCCCGATGCTACTGCACTTCCACAGGTCCAAGGGCATGCCTCTCGGCCCCGGACTGACCGCTTGATCTGAGGAAATTCGGAGTGGAACTCCAAGTCATTCTGGAGCCACGTCCTCATCCAGGAGGTTCGCATTATCCTGATCGCTTCCCGTCCGTCGTTTCAGCGCTAATTATTTGCCGAAATTTGGAAGCACGAATGCCGGAGTGTATTGTATCATGAGCCGATGCGTGAAGCAGCTGAATACTCACGAGCCAGCTTAGATGAGGGTATGCCGCCGTGACAACACTGAGTGGGAACTGGCGAGCGAAGCTACAACGTCGATGAAGAAAGTCGCTGCACTTGGTGAGCTCTAACCGTACTCACACAATAAGTTCAGCAAAGATGAATCCACTCTCGCGAGAGCCAAACCGCTTCACCCGACGCCGAAAAGTAGATCCGCTAAGCCTAAGGGGGTCGCCCGCGATATTTCCGCCCGATCTAGAGCGAAATGCCATGATTTTCAAGCAATGCTCCGGAACCAGGTTCCGCGCCGAGTCCACAAATACCAGAATGTATCCCCTTCGCCGAAAATGATAATAAAATTCGGTAACCAAATAACATATAACCGCACACTCAGCTGGTCCACCCCCGTGGCTTTGAGCTGTTTCTTTCCTCTGTTACATAGACGTTTCGAGACGGGATGACACTCTATGCAAAATGATCACAGGGTCGTGAGGCGTATTTACGTACCTTCCGAAAGGGATCGATCGCGCCGATGGACGAAAAGCTGAGATTGTGTTCAGGTAGCGCCGAGCTCCCCGGAGAGTCTTTCCGCTAGTCGCCGGGAGTCGCTCCGCAGCTGAACTCGTATCGTCGGAAACACAGCGATTATGAGCACAAAACTCCCCGAGCAGGATTCACTTTTCGGAATAATGCTTCCCAGTACGACAATGCCGTTGAACGATTTCCGCTCCGGAGAACTCAGGTTCGCGAATGGATCTCATTTGAGGGTGAGAATGCCTCTGACTTACACTAATATGAAGCGAATATCGTGCCGCGCGATCGGCGGTACTTTCAAATTTTGCAACTTCCAAGTTTGCTTTTCGGCTTAACGCTTCCTCACAACCGAATCAAAGATTCGGCGTCCGAAGCCTGAGAGTTCATTGCAACCTCACGCCACGACTCTCCAAGAATCAGGGCCGTCCCGCTCCAATATCGGGACATCTCGTTGCCGTACACGGACCCGAATAGAACGGAGGAGCACGCTTCACGCTCCCCGCCGACGAGAGTCTCCGAGCCAGAGAGAACCTATTCGAACGCAAACCGATTACTACGTCTATCCATTGCTCTCCCTGTGCGACTCCGGGAGCGATCATGACTCCCTTATGTCTCCCTGACCCGAACCACAAAAGTCTCAATGCAATCTCCCTGCTTCGAATCAACAGCTACTCGAGCGTCTTCTCGAGGAGGAACGCCTATCTCGGAGCGCGAACACACCAGCTCGCAGATTCATGATGTGTCTAAGAAGTGATTCTGAATTCCGGGTCCGACTACTCCGTATCACAAGGTCAATCTCTTGGGTTAGAGCGTGAAATGTTACACGGGAGCTTTTCTGTGTCACGTCCTCGCTCTCCAAGCGAGTGAATCGAGGAGATCGTCACCGACCGGCGGTTTCATCGCTTCTCAGAGGCTCATTGCGTGCGAAAACCGCATGTGCCATTGTTCCTCGGCGGAGTCCTCTACATCGTCGACAGTGCTCCTCGGGTGTTGCCGTCGTGTCGCGAAAGCTCCGAGTCTGGCCGAAGCCATCAGTGCCGAGTCGCCACGAGGATCGAGCACGTGAGGGGCTCATGTACGTGGTCTCCTCATGCATTGTATTAGTTCAGGTCTCGTTTGGCGCCATGGTGATCCTCTGAGATTGCTGCCCTTCGGTTCGAATTAGGGGGAGCCATTGATTTACATGCCATCTAGGGAAAGCCAAGGTCTATTGAGCGGCTTACCGCTGTATCTTTCCGAGTTGTTGGAACTCCCCACCCTAACCCCTGTGACTGCATAACTACGGGTCAAATCCCGATTCGGAACAACGACGACCCCCCGAGACGTTTTGGTCATGGAAAACTGTTTGAGCCCCACAAAACTCGCGCTTGCACCAACAGGGAGCCTATTGGCTCAGCCGCGCGGGGATCCACACCGCGGATCCACACCCTCGGCTGGGCGACTGCCGGTTACGGAAATAACATTTTCGAGAGACGCCCTCACGCCTGGCGATAGGTTTTCCTTGCGCCCCTCTTCGAGAGACGCAGAGCGTGGGCCGCCGCGAAACCGAGGGGTCGCAGAACGCGAAAGATCTCCATATCCTCCGGACTTTGGTGGAGTAATCAGCGTTTCCTCGATCTCTCCTCGGGGTGTTTTGTAGAGTTCGGACGCCTCGTTCCCCACATTCTCCCTAGAAAGTTGACTTTGGCCGTCAAGATCGAGAGGTATTCCAGGAGTCGTTGCCTATTGGTTCTCGAAAACCCTGTGTTAGCAAGGCGATAGAAAGGCAATATGGAAGGCTTCCACTATGACACCTCAACGGAAGAATCCGGGATCGTGATGAGTTCCAAACTCGAATGAATTTATCCCATAGTCATTCGGCAATTTCCTCGTTTTAAGACGAGGAAATCGCGTTCCTGGACGTGGAGCCGCAGTTTCGCAGTACATGGGCTCAGTAGCGTTTCCAGGATTCTTTCTGGGGGGGGGGCAGAGGTCTAAAATGATGACGCACCCTGTACTCATGCATCACGGAAGAAGTATTTTGGGGGGGCATGGTTTTTGGATGAGATGGAACAGTCCAAGACTTTTCATGAGAAGAAACGAGCATTCGATGAGCAGTATCCCAGATGGTCTGGCGGATTCAGAGAAGGCAGAGGATAATGCAAGAGGGGAGAGCTGAGGGCGATGAACACACAGGAAAGCTAGGCGGGCTGTGCGAAATCATTAGAGGCCGACGGCGCCGACGGGGACCGAGAGAGAATATGCAACGAACGACTGAGAGACGTGAGAGTCAGACCAATCTTCGAAGGCTCACGGATCGATGTTGAAGTGGAGGCATCCGTCGGTACACCCCTTACCGGGAGGCAGTACGACACAGAACCGTAAATAAAGGCTTTGAGGACCTTGAACAGCAGAGCGCGTGGGAAGCAGGGCCTACGAAGGCGATGCATGCAGAAAACCATCGAAGGAAACGTAGTGCTGAGACAGGCACGGTGGGGTTTTCAAGAGAGATGAGTCGAGAGCATTACCGGGACCGATCACAGTATTTCCGAACGGGGAGCGGGACCGAGAGAGCATCGAACACTATCGAATAGTCCGAAACCAACTGGGCTGACCGAGGAGGATGAAAGTAAAGTGCCTTGATCTTAGGGACATCCACACGAAGACGGAGAAGATGATACATGGACATAATCTCCTGCAGGAATTTATTCTCCGCCATTATATTCGCCGAGACATTGCTTCGACCAATCCGAAAGAGGACTAAGGTCTCATTCGCAAGAGAGAAGATGGAGAGCTCGCTCGAGAAGGAGTAAGGTCTGTCGAGGGGTGAATTTAGGAACATGAGGAAGAGCTAGGTACCTAGGACCGAGCCTTATGGGACCCCAGAATGCAGTTCGTATGGATCAGAGGGAGAGCTTGAGGGAAACACTCCAATTCTGCGAGCGGAATGTATGAGTCGAACCAGGCAAGAGACCGGCTACACGTGCCACGGGAAGCAAGGGTGCGCTGGAGAATGGAGTGATCGAGACAATCGAATGCCTTCGCGAGATCTAGACTTTGCGTAATGAGTGATGAGGAAGACTCCGAGGATCCTCAGCACAATTTGTTTATTCCTCGTGGGGCGACCTGGTTCATTCCGCGTTCCCCCTGAGGGGTCCCTGGTGGCGGAAACTGTCCTTTCGTCGACACTCGACCCTACCCGTTCCACTATTCCATCTTCTCTTCAGACAAGATGGGTAAGAAAGCTCGGATTCGAATACCGGACTTCATCTTATAGAATACACATCGAGCCTTCTCCCTCTATAGGGGTTGGAGCTTGACTTGGATCCTCGGAGGTGCTTGCTCATCGAAGGGAGTCATCAAAGCATCCCACCTGGTACGTAAGTATGGATTTATCTATTGTGGCTATCGCCCTATGTATCAAGCCTGACCATGTCGTCGGAGCTTACACAAGTGGCACTAAAACCCAACTCATCGTCACTGAGGCTGCCAAGGCGCTGTAGGCTCTCTAGTACAAGAAATCATGGCTTCCGAACAT